AAACAATCTCTAATACTAATAATAACATTTACCAGTAACTGAAATAATACGAATGATTTTGGCTACAAGCTCAAAATGGTGTAATTTAGGCAAAAGTGGATTCTTGTTTAAACGGAATTTGCGCTGGTTATATTGATGAAGATCAAACCATATTCAGAATATGCTGTACGACCACAAAAATGTCGGATAAAAGTGTCCGAATTATTGACTATAATTTGTTGGGCCCTTTATCGATTGTACTGTATACTCCGAAGCATTGTATTGATTGGTTGACTGAGGTTGTGTCACAACAAACGGTTGACAAAGGTAAAAAGGAAATGTTATCGCAACAGTTACATCATTGACGCTACTTAGGCAGAGATGGCAGAGGCTATTGTAAGTTAGTTTACGTTTTATGAAAACGTCACAAAATTTAGCAAACAGTACGAAACAATTGTTTATTATAAACGAGAAAAAAAGAATTCAAGCGTTGGCAATCGACTTCACAGCCAGCCAAATCCACTGTAACTAATACGTTATTCCATATTATTGTGTCAGAACAACAGTAAACCATCATCCTCGAAAACGAAAGGCAAAGGCAAACAAATTGAAGACGTTGAGGCTGATGATATAACTCAACCGTCTGAAAACCTGAGCTCGAGGGAACAAGTGATCGAGTGCTTAGAAGCAATTACCAACAACAATGACAGAAGGCACCACTTTATCAGATTGCATACGTTGTTATTGACAACCGAGGATAGTTTGAATGACGATCTATTGGAAAATGTATTGACGATAATAGGAACGGCAAAAATTTCATATAAGGCACATAAGGTAACAATTGGTATGGAGTTGGAGCTACATCTCAGGACATATGTGTTGGCATTGGAAGCATGGAGCAGGAGACCACTTATAATGACAAGGGAATTCCGTGAGTCTTTGTATGGACACCTTGCTGTCTTGAATGATTTTCATCAACGGCACACTGAAGCACTAAAGAATGGCCTGGACAAAAACTTCAAATCTGAGTACAATCCATACAGTGAACAAAGAAGTGCATATGGTTTATATTCTAATTTGGAGAAAGGTATTGATTGCCAAAATTACAATAATGATTTCTTATTGATACATCTTCGGGACACTCTTCATACAATGCATGATGATGAAACAGTCTTATTTGAGATTATAAGATACTTAAAGACAGTGTTTGCTGGCTTGGTTAGAGTTTTACCTGGTATGGCTAATATTATGCCAAACATTCAAACCCCACTTGATAATCAAGCATCTCTTGAAACCTATAATAAAATTCAGCAGGGTTTAAGTCCCAAATTTCCTATCAGCTATTGGTACAAGGATTGGAGATACTTATACAGTACATATCAAGCATTTGTTGAATGGTCAGCTATTCCTATCAATAAGGATTTGGTTGGCAAAGGAGAACTGATGATTATTAAAGATTTGTGGAATTTTGGATATCAAGAATGGACCAGAGCTGCTGTAAAGTCAGAGACTGAGATAGATACCTTTAAGTCCACCTTGAAACACACCCTGGTCCATATTGGTGGTTATTCTCCTGTATCATACCCATATTCATTATTGTATGGTATACTAGAAATTGCTCAAAAACTCATATTATCCACAAAGAATCCTAGTACCTTGGCTCACTGTTATTATCTTGCAAAATTGACACTTGACATTGTGTTGACAGAAAGCATTCAATTTAAAGCAATGGAAGTCTTGATAACAATTTCTAAAAGGGATCCAAATAACTTTTCAGTTGTCCAGGTAGATTTGTGTCAACACATTGGAAAAGTCACAAAGTCAGAAACTAATGAGAAAAGACTTCAGGATGTGATAGAGTACATTAACAAAAAATATAACTATACAAATACTGGATTAGAGACTCCAGCCCCAAATACAAAGCAAAAAGCAGTATTAGAACAGAATCCTGAGGAATTGCTTGATTCCAGTTTTGATGATTTGCTAATTTTGGATATGGTAGCAGATCATCTCACATGCCCCTTTACACAAAGGGTTACAGATGATTTTAGAATATTGCCATGTGAACATAAAATTAGTTATTCAGCATTAGAGAAATTTATGAAATTAAACTATCATTCATTAAAATGTTTTTATTGTAACCAGAAAATCAAAATCCAAGATACTAAATCACTAGAAAGTTCACCTATCTATAAAGCACTGTATGAAAAGTTTGTTGAAGCTGGATACATTCCACCAACAAAAGACAGCACATCAGAATTTACAACATCTGTAGAAAACCAGGATGTAGATGGTAGTGATTCTGAGGAATATTCTATGATGAAAACAAAGTTTTTATATTTGCTAAAAATGAAACCTAAGAAAACTTTATCACAAAGAATTAGAAGGCCAAAAGGACAACATCCTGCTTACAAACAAGGCAAGAAAGCTCTCAACAATGGAAGATACAGAGATGCAATAATGTGGTTGGAAAGAGCACTTGAACATTATCCTAATAGT